ATTTAGTAACATTGTTCATGTTAGATGTATTTGTCATATTTATCATTTAATTATGGGTAATGGTATGAGAATTTTAAATGTTAAAATTGAAAAGTTAAAATGGCTCTTAGTTGGCATTTTTATTCCAACCGTAGAAGTAGACTTAGAGAATATTTTAAAAGATGCGATGAATTTGGCCTAAGAGAAAGAAAGGTTCCTAAACCTTGTCCAACTAGATGGAATTACATGTATGAAAGTTTAGTTGTTGCATATGAATATAGAAACCCCATAAAATCAACGTTTAATGCTCATGTAAGTGATGATGATGAGCACCTTACAAATGCGGATTGGGCTAATGTTAAAATGCTTGTAGATTTCCTAGAAAGATTTCATGTTGCTACAAATGAATTTTCTGGGCAATATTATCCTACTATTTAGTTTATCTTGTAGATCTTGCAAATTTGTTTGCTTATTTTTTCAAAGAGTGGGGAAATTTATGAAGTAGCTATTAATTCTATGAGAAAGAAATTAAAAAATATATTTTTTCCATATTCCCCCTATTTATGGTATTGCTGCCTTGTTAAATCCTACTATGAAATTAAGTGGTCCTCAATATTGGTATCAATCTATTTATAATGGTTTAGCACTTGTACTTGAGGAGTTGTCTACACTTCCGGACGCACAAGCCTCAATTAAAATAATTGCTCTAACTATTTATAGTGCTTATCAAATTGCACTAGATAATGCTAGACCAGATATTCCAACTCTTTCTTCTTCTAGTTCTCAATCATCTAAAAGAACTGCAGGAGTAAGAGCACTTACTGCTTGGACCGAGTTTAGGGGTTCTCAAGGTTGTATCACTAGTGATTGTTCACAACTAAATGAGCTTGAAGTTTATTTGTCAGAGGAACTTGAGGAAGTTAATCCCGACGGCTCATTTAATCTTTTAGAATGGTGTAAGGACAAAGAAAAACACTTTCTGATCCTTTCAAGGATGGCCCGAGACATTTTAACCATTCAAGCTTCAACAGTGGCATGGGAGAGCTCTTTCAGTCAAGCAAGACTACAACTCAGTGGTTATAGAGCGTCTATGAGGGAGAGCTTGGAAAAATCAGTATTTTTCAGAGATTGGATCTGTTTGGAACGAAGAAATTTTGGACTTGCTGAATCACAACCAGAGGTAGACGAAGCTTACGAAGAAATGCTAGCTGAACTTGCGGAGGATGCAGCTTCGCCCGGAAGCGGTAATGAACAAGCTTCTTTTCCACCACCATTAACGAAAATTCCTCCGAACCTTGATGGATTTATGAAATTTGTGAGAGATACCATGTAAAGTTAATACGTAACTTGTATTTTGGCACATCTTGATTAGTTTCTTTTTCTTCTCAATGGTGGTATTAACACCTTGGTTGTGTTCATTCCACTGGGGGAGGGGGGAAGCTAAGAAAGATTGGGCCATGTTTTCTTAATGTTATAATAATAAAAATTATAACGCACTCCTTTGAATATCTTTTTACAATATTTNAGTCAAGACCTGTTTAGGACCGGGCCCGGCCCACATAGCCCGGGACCATTAGTTCATGGTCTCGGTCTAGTTACATCCAAAAACCTACGAAGCCCGGGTCCGTTTAAGTCCGGCCCACTTAGAACCGGACCGTTTAAGCCCGGCCCGCAAGGCACGTTTAGGTTCGGGCCCGGACCGTTTGCCACCCTTAACTGCAAGCCATAATTAGAGTGATGCAGCGACTTCTTGAAGAAGCAAATTCTGCATCCAAGGGCGGAGGCAAAATTTCGACTTAACTCAATATCGTTAATATTTATCTTAAAACTTTATTTAATATATACTCCCTTCATTTCAAAAAAATTGTCCTAATTTGACTTGACACAAATTTTAATAAAGAATGGAAGACTTGCGATATGTAGTTTTAAATAAGCCATAACATTTGTGTGGCTATAAAACTTTTGAAACTTGTTATCTTATCAGCTATAACATTTGTGAGACTATAAATGTTTCATATTAAGGAAATATTAAAAGGTGTCAATCTTTCGTGAACGAACTAATAAGGAAATAGTGTCAATCTTTTTGCAATGGAGAGGGCACAAATTATCAATCTAAAATTTAATAGCTCAAACGGGCTAAAATCCTGAACTTATGCACATCAATTATAGCTCTGCCGCTGTGTGCCTTGCGGGCACTCATGACAAATGATGGCAGTACTTGCGATCTCTACATCTTAGGCCTACGACCATTAATGAACATAAAGTCGAGAGAACGAAAAGAAAAATGATCGCACTAAACGAGCCTAGACATTTTAGCTAATCCACAATCGAAGGAATGGAGAAATAACGAGTACGTCACTATTAGTCAAGTATGTTCTTTCTTACTCATAGTGTACATCCTGTTGCTTGTTTATGGAAACCTGGTTATTCCCATATTTGGAGAAGAATGATGGATATAAAGATTGGGTATGAGGAACATATTAAGTGGAGACTTTTTCATGGAAGGGCCTCTTTCGGGTGGTATAAATGGTCAGAACATGGCTCCTTGGCCAAGTTTATAAATGACCCTAATAAAGGAAAGGAGACAGTTATGGACTTCATTTATGAAGGTCACTGGAACCTTTCTGCTTTTGAAAATGGTCTTCCTAGTTATATTACCAGGAATATCTATCTGATTAAGGTTCCTGTTGGCTCTAAACTAGATCAGCCTATATGGACCATTACCAATGATGGTTCATTTTCCTGTAAATCTGCGTGGCATCTTTTCAAGCAATCTAGAAATGTTACCTACTCTACTAGTAATATTTGGTATAAAAGAATCCCTTTCAGAATATCTTTCTTTATGATGAGATCAATTCATAACAGATTGCCTATTGATGAGATCAGTAGAAAATTTGGGTTTCGTGGTCCATCTATGTGTTCTTGTTGTAAAGCTCCTAAATATGAAACTATTGAAAATGTTTTAATTAGCACTAATGGCGCATCAGCTGCTTGGGACTTGTTTGGTGGTTTTTGTGGTGTGGAAAACACCAACATAAAAGCCAGACAAGCAGCTGATGCGCCATCACACGCCTCCCCAAACCACATTAGTGTAATTTTACTGGGTCATCATTATTGTTGTGGTGGTGTTAAAACTACCGACAGATTGAGACACTCTTTCCAACTGGTAACAAAGCTCAAAAACAATGATCACTCTTTTTTTACCTCACTGCCTCCCATGCTTGATATGTTGGGAAATTTGGAAACAAAGATGTGCTATCAAATATGGAAACCGAAAAGCTTCTGTAAAGAAACTTTTGCTCCAAATCCAGAACAAGATCTGCATTCTTGTTAATGTCAAGTTACCATTTTTGCCCATCTTCTCTGAATGAAAACTATTGATCCATGCTGCGGAAAGATGTAAACCTTTAGTAAAGGTTATCCCTGTCAAATGTACTAAGCCACTTGATGGTTACAAAAAGCTTAACACTGATCGATGCAGAAAAGGAAATCCAGGCTTAGCAGGTGGAGGAGGATGCTTGAGAAATCACAATGCGGATCTAATTATAGCTTACTCCATTTTCTTTGGTTCATGCACTAATAATATGGCTGAAGCAAAGGCTATTCTAGTTGGCTTATAGTGGTGCATTGTCAAGGATACTAAGGAGGCCGAAATTGAATCTGATTCTCTAATCCTAATCAATGCTAGAACACCTTTGCAGATTTCTTACCTGGCAGAACATATTAGAGAGCTAAGGCAGAAAGGAAGATTCTGTAATTTACAGTCATATCCTACCCAGTTAGGGGCTTGAGATGAAAGGGATAGACCGCAGCCCAAGCCTGATTCTGTAAAAACTACATCAGTGGGCCAACCCCAACCATTTACCAGATTAGCCACATTTACTGGCTAACAAGACAATGAGTTCAATACATTCAATATACAATTCACAAACACTAGGCTGTTTTCTCCTATCTATCTATCTATCTATCTAAACTTTTTGATTAGAAAGGCTGGCTTCCTATCTATCTATTTAAACTTAGGAGGCATAGTTAATTGGTACCTATTCTGATAGGAAATAACAAATATATGATAAATTAGACTTAAGGTGCATAAACTTTACACAAACGCCATAATTACCAACCAACTGAAAGGGAAATATGAAAGAAACTCGCAACTTACCGTACAAATAACTTGAAAGCTCTAGGTTATGTGCACATTAGAATTATTTTGAACAGAATATACAATCATTAAAAATAGTGGACGAAAGAGATTTAAGGTTCTAGCAATTATCTGTGTGTATTAAATAGCGATAAGATGGTGACGGTCCATCCCTTGCGAGTAGGGATGAGTGCAAATGACATACAAGATTGGAACAGAACGGTAACTCAGTTTATGAAAAAGAGAACCAAACAAAATAGCAGCATTTGAATGAGAAGAGTTTTGAGGCACTGTTCTCGGGGAGAAAAAGCGAGAAGAAAAGAATGTCAGAAACTCCAGCTGCAAGGAACAAAGGGATTAACTGATATAGCACACACAGCTTGATCAGACTCACAAACAAAGCAAGTCTTGATCAATAATTTTATTGTTTCTGGCTCTTAAGAACTATTACTCAAATACATTCCTTTTAACATAAAGGAACGGCAATTCCTGTACAAACACAGATTTCAAGTTCTTATATCAAAATAAAAGAGAAGCAAACCAAGCATTTACACCTATGACCATAAACATTTTCCTAAGAAATAATTTTGATCAACGAATACATTTTTCACCAATATGGACAAATGACTTCGTGACTCATGGAGCAAAGTCATCTTCCTATACATTTTTGTTAACTTTCAATGAAGTATTGAATATTATCAAAGCTATCCTGATGTTCTATCTTTCCCCTGGTATGATTTACTATATCTCACTTGTTCTCCAAACACTGGAAAACGAACCAGAAATGCTTTCTCATGAAAACCATTTTTCATGAAAAGGCTTTACTCTCCCTTACAAAAAATAACTCAGTAAAGTGCTACTCAACGTAATGACAATAATAAAATAGCATGCCAAAAACAAAATAGAGCATTTCATCAAGTAAAAAAGATAATGATCCAAATCCTAACAATGCCAATAAAACTGACACTTTCTCCAAAATTATCCTCAAATCCAAATAAACAAAATATAACATAATAATACTAAATATAACAAAAACATCTTAAAATTAACCTCTTATTCCTCAATCCAGAGGAATCTCAACATCACCATCATCAATCTCCTGTTGCAAATCCTTAGGATCCTTTCCATCAACAGTACATCCAACGGACACACACGTCCCCAAAATCTCCTTCACAGTACCTGTCAAATCCTTCGCCATAGATCTCGGCTTCATCACTTTCGCAATCTCAATCACATCATCCAGCGAAATATTCCCGTTGTGCTTGATGTTCTTCGTCTTTTTGCGATCTCTCTCAGGCTCCTTTAACGCCTTGATTACGAGCGCCGCCGCGGAAGGTACGACGGAGACTTTGGCCTGCCGGTTTTGGACGGTAAGCTTGACGGTCACTCTAAGGCCCTTCCAATCCTTGGCGGTTTCCTTAGCGATGTCTTCTCCGATTTTCTTGGGGGAGAGACCGAGTGGGCCGATTTTTGGAGCGAGTGAACTCGCCGCACCGACTTCGCCGCCGGTGACGCGTACGAAGACTTCGACAACCTGAGAAGGATCGAACTTTGGCGGCATTTTTGTTACAGTTAAGAAAGTAGAGGAAGAGTGGCGCTAGGGTTTGTGGCTGTGTTTTTATAGACGAAGAGGGGAGTGATAGGAAACGGGGTTTATAAACTAGGGTTCCTTAATCATAATATGGGCTTGAAGTAGAATCAATTTGATATTTGGGCCGAATGACTACTTACGCTTTTTTTCTTGAGATTTTTTCTTTCCTATATCATATATGAAACTTTATTATCAAAAATGTGCATAGATTCTAATTTACCCGCTTTATTTATATTTTTTCTACAGTTATTATACCAATCATTAAATATTAATTAAAAGTAGCTGAATCTTCCTAATTTGTCGAGCTAAAATTCAGGAACAGAATCTTCTAAAAAGATTTGGTGTAAATCAGATCAAATCATATCACGGAAATCCTTTATCTTCAATTTATAATCAAATTCTGTTCTTCGATATTCTCACAATCACTACAAATCAAAATCTCAGTTCGTCGAAATCAGAAGCTCAATTTCAAATTGTAGAAATCAGTTTTGCAAATCTCAGTTTGTCGACTTTTTTCCGCAATCCACTAATCAAAAAAGCGATAAAATATTTAACAAATTCAAGTCAAATTGTAGAAATCAATTCTGCCGATTCTCTGTTCTTCGTCTTTTTTTCTTAATCCAAAAAATCAAAAAAATGACAAAATATTGAACAATACCTCAGCAACGACACACAATCATGTCCAAAATCCCAATCATGCTACATTTTAATGGCAATTGGGATAGCTATGGCAGATTTAGAGATTTTAAAATTGATGGCATTGTGCTTGATGAGGATGCAAGTTACAGTATGTTGATTTCTACAATTGCAGAGCAATTAATGATTTATACTTCGGAAAAAATTGTAGAAATCAAATATATTGTGAATGAGAATTGTCATCCAATGGAGATGAGGAACAATATGGGGGTTAGTGTGTATATGGAGACAAAAAAGGAGAATAAAAACTTAGGATCGTATCTGTTACTCATAAGTGTACGAGATTTCAATATGGAATTGGCTATTACAAATGAGAACACAAGTGCAGGTAGTGCAGGTTTGTTATGTTTCAAATTCTATGGAAGTCTGATTTTACGATAATATCTACAAAATTCCTACATTTATCTACAAATAAACTACAAATCAGTTTTAGGATGTATAAAGCAATATTATTTTCATGCTTATCAACAAAATTACTACATTTATACTACAATTAAGCTACAATCCATGTTGGAAAAAAAATTGACTATAAAATTTTCTATTCATCTACAATTTATCTACAAAGATATTGTATATGACACTGTTTATCTTTATTTTCAGGCAGATTCATCTGGGACAATACAATTACTTGATATGTCAGTCTCTCCCGTCATAGAGGAATATCAAAGTGAAATAATAACTAAAGGTACACAAAGTGTTATCGAAGAAAGACAAGTGTATCAAGACAAGCAAACAATTGCAACTGCAATGAGGTATTATTCTGTCATGCACAAGTTCCAATTCAGGGTTAAAAGATCTAGCCATAGAAGGTATGAAGATATTAATTGTGAAAAGACCTTTATAAACAGTATTTTCCTTGTGTTATGTAGATGAAAAGTAGTTATATTGTATAGTGTGTTACTTTATGTTAAAACAGTCATTTTGTTAAATCTACATTGATAACATGTATTATAAATGTATTATTTTGTAGCTACTGGCTCATATGCGATGTAGAAAACTGTAATTGGCACTTTAAGGCAACATCAATTAATGATTCTGCGATGTTCAAGATCAGGAGTTTCAACCGACAACACACATGCTCCTTAATGGACGATACATTCATACAGCGCAAACGTACTGCAATTGTAGTTGGTAGCATGGTTATGCCAAAGTATTGTGATCCTAAGACAATTTACACACCAAAGGACATACAAACTGACATGTTGTCCCAACACGGAGTGAACTTAAGCTACATGCAAGCATGGAGGGCAAAGGAAAAGGCTTTACAGTTATTGAGAGGTCATCCGGCTGACTCCTACAACAAATTACCAAAATATTTTTATATTCTTGAGAAGACGTATCCTGGTTCAGTTATTAAATTGAAGAAGACAATAGATGAATGCTTCTTATATGCATTTGTTGCTTTTTGTACATCAATAAGTGGTTGGGAATATTGTAGACCAGTAGTAGTGGTTGATGGGCATTCTTAAAGACAGCCTACAGGGGGGTTATGCTGACAGCAAGCACAATGGATGCATCAGGTAAAATTGTAGTTATTTTGTAGGCAGTTTATAAATTGTAGATACATTGTAGATTTTTTGTATATATATATTGTAGTTTATATGTATTTGTGTTTTCATATGTATTTTCAAATCTGCCAGTTAATTTTTTTTTACTAATAATGTAGGTACAATATTGCCTTTGGCATATGTTGTGGTTGATTCGGAAAACAACGCATCGTGGAAGTGATTTTTTGAGCAATTTAAGCAAGCATATGGTGAAAAAACTTCAATGTGTGTTGTTTCAGATAGGAATGAGAGTATCCTGAAGGCAACATCAATTGTCTATCCGGGCGTGCCACACTACTCTTGCGTATGGCATATTTGGACAAATATAAGGGCAAAGTTCAAGAAGGGTCATCTACAATTAAATGAATTGTACTTTGCTACAGCAGGGTCATACACTCTGGATGAATTTAATGAAAGGATGTCGAAGATTGAAGAAATAGACCCGCGTGTTAAATCATACCTCTATGATATTGACTGTCATAGATGGTCAAGAGTACATGCAACGGTGAATAGAACTTGGACTATGACATCAAACATTGCCGAATAGTTGAATGCTGTAACAAAAGAGGCAAGAGAGTTGTCAATATTTGACCTATTAGAGTATATGAGGACACTTTTTAAATGTTGGACGAAAGAGAAGTTATTGAAGGCGAAGGATACTTTCACATACCTTGGGTACAAATTCAATAAAGAATTGGAGAAAACAGTATATTATCTCAAAAATAGTACATTATCTCAGAAACTTAGGGTAAGATCTATTTATTTGGTGCAGAAAATTAATTAATTAATATACATTGTTTCCAAATTATAGATAAATTGTAGTTAATTTGTAGATTGTAGATAATTTGTAGATATAATTGTAGATACATTGTAGATAATCTATTTTTATTATTGTAAATATTTTTCTTTCTGTTTGTTATGTAATTGTAGGTGAGGGCTTCAACAGATCATATCTATGCTGTGATAGATGGTGTGAAGCGATACATTGTGTGTCTTGAAAGCAAGAAATATAGTTGTGGCCAGTTCCAACTTGATGAACTTCCATGTCCGCATGCTTTGGCAGCTCTAAGGCACAGGAATGAAACATATGAAAACTATTGCTCTCCGTATTACACAAGGGAGAGCCTGTTGCGTACATATGAAATACCAGTAAATCCCCTTCCTGATGAAAACAAATGGAATGTGCCACAACATATATCTGATAAAGTAGTAAATCCACCTACGGGAGAGAAAAAGCAGCCAAGAAGACCTTAAAAGGAAAGATACAAAACATATGATGAACTAAAGTCAAAGAAGTACAAGGTGTCATGTGGCAACTATGGTGGTGAAGGGCATAACAAAAGATCTTGCAAGAATGCACCCAAAAAGAAATAAATATTGTGTAGTTAGAATAGTATTTCAAAATAATTGTTAGTGTGTTCAAGTTAACGGATTTTTGTGTGTGATCATTGTGAACACCTAATTTTGATCGTATTTGAATTTTTTCCCACTTATCTCTCCAATACCTCACTTCTCACCCATCTTTCCCACTTTCCCTTGTCCCCTACGTTGGTCCCCCCACTCTCTTTTATTTCTTCACATCCATCCCCTTTGTTCCCCACTTCTTGTCCCCCACTTTGTTCTCCACTCATATTCCCACATCCTCACTCCATTCCACTCATAATTCCGCTAAGCCAATTCCCATTTTCCTCCACTCAAAACCCACGTTCTCCACTCCAAAGGGGAGGAACAAAAAATTACCAATTGTCTTCTCTATAAAGAGACAACAAAGACTTAGTGAAAGGGAAGGAAAAAAGAAAAACAATAATTCAAGTAAGAAGAAATGAGAGGAGAAGTTCAAAATATAGAGACGAAAAAAAAGGGATGGCTTCTTCTTAACGGAGACAGAGGGTATACACTCGATATACGGTCAGTATACATTCTATATACACTAGAGATACTCTCGATATACACTGGATATACAGAGGCAGCCAACGAAAAGAGGGTCTTCTTCCTCCTAAAAATTCTACATCTAGAGCTTAACATCCACCATGAAAGAGCCATGAAAGCTCATATTTTCCACCTGAAAAACACCCCAAAGTCCTAGCTAAAACCCAACTAAAATACAATGAAATTCCAGCGTGTAATCACAGTCGAAAAACCCATGTGAAACGTCACTGCTTCAGCTGCATACCCGCCAGATCTCTCACCAGCTTCGTCCGCACTGTCGTCGTCTCCCATCTCTCATCCATTGCTGCTTCAACCTGAAGCTAGCTCCTAAACCACCCTTTAACACCACGAAACAGCCCCAAGGTCTTTGAAAAATCCAAGCCGTCGTTGAGGTGGTCGTCGTCTGAGGTTCCGTCGATGAGATCGACGATGTTTGGTTATAGTTCTAATGATTTGTTGTAT